TTGAAATTAAAATTAAATTAGAAAAAGGGGGTGATTAATTAAATCCCATAATTGGATATACAATTAAGAAATTAAATAACTAAGAGGGGGAGGGGCCAGCGGTATTAAGAGGGACTTGAGAGTTTATGGAGAGAGATTTAAATGCTTGCCAAGTGGGGAACCTTAAATTATGGAGGAATATTTAAATCAAATCCTATTTGAATTTGAATACTTTCCTAAAATAAGATAACTAAATTAGGGAAAGAATTTGAAATTTAAATATATTTGAATTTAAATTTAAATGCTTTCCCTATTAAAACACATCACAATAGGAAAGAAGGCTATCAAGCAAGATTGACTCCAATCAAGAGCGAAAGGAGAAGGGGCGGCGGGTAGAGAGAGAAGGGGCCGGTTATGGGAGGAAAGGAAAATGAAATTAACCAAGTCTTCAATTAAGGGAGAAATGCTTTAATCAAATACAATTCCAAATTGATTGGAATTTGATTTGAAGAACTTTCCAAAAATAGATCTAGTAATTTAGGAAAGGTTTTGAATTTCAAACTAATTGGATTTGAATTCTAAATTCTTTTCAATTATCTTCAGCCTAATTTAGGAAAACAAAGGGGAATGAAGGAGGGAAGAGGCTAGGGATGAGGTGGTCGGCCGGCTATGGAGGTGGAGGGGTTTATGGCCGGTGGTTGATAGGGATAAAGTGGAGGCTTGTGGCTTTGGAGGGGTTTATGGGAGAATCGGCCGGTGGCAAGTGGGGGATTTTGGCCGGCAGTCAAGGGAGTAAGAGAAAAGGATTTAAGGAAAGAAAGATACAACCGTGAGCCTGACCCATCCTGCAGCTGACGGGTAATACGTTGCCATTCTCCAAGGGATTTCAATCCACGAGCCCTGACCCATCCTGTGGCTGGTGGAAACTCCGATTCCCTCCCATAGGAATCTCACCCAAGTTCTCTCCAAAGAACACAAGTGCAAATAAAATTTTATTAATAATCCATCATTACATTACATGAGCAATGACCTCTATATATAGGCCTAAGAAACTAAAACAAGGCACATATGCCCCTAGGGCTTACATAGGATGACCCTCTTAAGAAAGGGTAAAAACGAAAAATTCATAATAAAAATAAAAATTACAAATAACAAATTAAGATAAGGTGGAATGATCTCGGTCGTCAATCGTCGTCTCCTCCTTTGAAAATCTTCATGATCTGATGTCTGCATCATTCTCCCGGGGTGGAAAAGAACTAGACTCTATCAAGTCCGCACCCCGGGTAACCATGCTCTGATACTAAACTGATGTAGAACGGATATGGGGGGAGGGGTCATTTGAAATTTGAATTTCAAACAAAATGGAAAAGGGATGGAAGGGGTACTTAATTAATCCCTTAAATTGAGTTCTGATGTTTAGGAAGGAATTAATTAAAATAAGAGAGATATTGGGGGCCTTAATGGAGAAGCGTTAATTAAGTAGAGAGAGTAGATAGGAGAGAGGGGCGGTGGGTAGAGAGATGAGAGGATATAGAGAAAGAGAATTAAAGTGGACTTTGATTGGAATCTGAAATTGAGGAAGATTAATTGAAATCAAATCTAATCAAAAATTTAATTGGACCTAATTTAAACAATTTTCCTAAAATAAGAATCATAATTTAGGAAACAAATTCAAATTCAAATTAATTTGAATTTTGAATTTGAATTCGTTGCCAAACTAAGATGTATAAAATAGGAAGGCTTTGAATACAAGATGAATTTGTTGGAGCCAACAGGGGAAAGAAGGTGGCCGGTGGCTATGGAGGTATTAGGGTTAGGGTTTGTGAGGGTGTTGCCAGATTGGAGGTGGGAGAAAGATGGCCGGTTAGGCTTAGGAGGGGGATGGAAAATTTCGGTGTGGAAGAAGAGAAGGTTGTGGGAAGAGGCCGGTGGGTTTGGGTGGAGGAGGGGATGAAGCAGGTGGGATTGGAGAAAGGATGGAGATGGGGATTAGAAAAAAAAATAAGGAGAAACAAAAAAACAAAGAAAATTGTGAGCCCGATGCTTCCTGCGGCTGACGGGTGTTGCGTTGCCCTTCATCAAGAGACTTCAAACCACGAGTCCGGACCCATCCTACAGCTGGTGGAAACTACGATTCCCTTCTATAGGGATCTCACCAAAGTCCTCCCAAGAAACAAAGTGTAGAAATAATTTTTTTATTAATTCATCATCAATCTAATACAAGAGAAATGACCTTTATATATAGGCCTTAAAAGAAGACAACTTTGCCCCTTGAGCTTACATAAGATAAGACCCTTAAATAAGGGTAAAAAATGGAAAATGCATAATTATATCAAAAATACAATTAATAAACTAAGATAAAATGGAGGGATCTAAGCCGTCGATCTTCGTCTCTTCCTTTGATTAACATCCACCGTCATATGTCAGCATCATTCTCCTGTGGTAGAAAAAAGCTCGACTCCGTCAAGTCCACACCCCGGGTTACCATGCTCTGATACCAAACTGATGTAGAACAGATATAGGGGGGAGGGGTCATTTGAAATTTTAATTTCAAACTAAATGGAAAAGGGAGGGAAGGGGTACTTAATTAATCCCTTAAATTGAGTTCTGATGTTTAGGAAGGAATTAATTAAAATATGAGAGAGATTGGGGGCCTTAATGGAGAAGCGTTAATTAAGTAGAGAGAGTAGATAGGAGAGAGGGGCGGCGGGTAGAGAGATGAGAGGATATAGAGAAAGAAAATTAAAGTGGACTTTGATTGGAATATGAAATTGAGGAAGATTAATTGAAATCAAATCTAATAAAAAATTTAATTGGACCTAATTTAAACAATTTTTCTAAAATAAGAATCATAATTTAGGAAACAAATTCAAATTCAAATTAATTTGAATTCGTTGCCAAACTAAGATGTATAAAATAGGAAGGCTTTGAATACAAGATGAATTTGTTGGAGCCAATAGGGGAAAGAAGGTGGCCGACGGCTATGGAGGTATTAGGGTTAGGGTGTGTGAGGGTGTTGCTGGATTGGAGGTGGGGGAAAGATGGCCGGTTAGGCTTAGGAGGGGGATGGAAAATTTCAGTGTGGAAGAAGAGAAGGTTGTGGGAAGAGGCCGGCGGGTTTGGGTGGAGGAGGGGATGAAGTCGACGGGATTGAAGAAAGGATGGAGATGGTGATTAGAAAAAAAAATAAGGAGAAACAAAAAACAAAGAAAATCGTGAGTCCAGACCAAGGGACTTCAAACCACGAGTCCGGACTCATCCTACGGCTAGTGGAAATTACGATTCCCTCCCATAGGGATCTCACCAAAGTCCTCCAAAGGAACAAAGTGTAGAAATAATTTTTTTATTAATTCATCATCGATCTAATACAAGAGAAAGGACCTCTATATATAACCCTTAAAAGAAGACAACTTTGCCCCTTGGGCTTACATAAGACAAGACCCTTAAGGGTAAAAACAGAAAATGCATAATTAAATCAAAAATACAATTAATAAACTAAGATAAAATAGAGAGATCTAAGCCGTCGATCTTCGTCTCTTCCTTTGATTAACGTCCACCGTCGGATGTCCGCATCATATACTCACCAAGGTTCCTTCATATATAAATAAGGGCCCCTATGCTTGGAATACAATTCATACAGGATTGATACTTCTCAAGTTCCCTCTCTCATTTTTTTGATTTTTAGCCTCTCTAATCCTTCTATCTGGTATCTTACATGTAACAATCAAGAGATCACATCTCAAGAGGTTCGCCGCTTGAATCAATCCAAAAAGAGAAGATTGCAGAACTTCTTGATAAATCTTTTATTTTTTTAATCCCTTGCTCTTCAAGATCATCCACATATGTTCTAAATGTGATAAATGAAGAACAAGTGCATAGAAAGAAAGGACAAAAATACAGTTTCTTGAAGAGTGAGCACAAAAGAAACGAGAAGAAAGAAAAAAAAATCTTGGATAGTGAGCAACCCTATAAGTTTAACACAATCCTTTCAATTTCTTGAAGGTCAAATAACCCATTCCTAAATGAGTAAGAAAACATAAATCTTAGTCTCATGGAATAAGTGATCCATTTCCTTGAAGGTAAATTACCAAGTGCCACACACTAAAGATATAGGTGAAGTCACTATAGATCGACCAATAACACTTTTGAAAAAATAATTGCAAAGCACCCGTATCCTAAAACTTACCTCAAAAAACAAAGGAAACTAAAACCAAAGATAATCAATTATAATTTGTGGTGATAAAGTTCAAGTGAGCCAGCCTAAACTTGGAATTGAAGAACTCGATTTTGGATCAAGCCAAATTCATGTCGACTGTCAAAAGTCTTTGATTTTGAATTGATTCGAGTAAAGTTTATTGAATATGTAAAATAATTTTTAATAAAAAATCATGATTATTACTTATTTAAAAGTGTATACATATACAATTTCATAAAATAAATCAAATATAGATGCAAATATGTGTATACATATACAATTTCATTTATTATATATTTGTGAACACATATATAAATATGTGTGTATGTGCATTACCACATAAACAAACATGTGCATATATCACATATTTAGTCTATTTCAAGTTGAATAAAACTATTTCAAGCAATTCATCATTGTTAAAGCATATAAATTTTGATTTAGAGTCAATTAAAATTCGAGCCGGTTTTGAATTTTGGGTGTGTTTTGAGTTTCGGACATGTCACCCTAATTATAATTAAACAAAACTTGTAGCATGATGCTCATATAATTGTTCACCTTAGGGAAACGCAAAACCATTTAGATCATTTATTCTAGATAATTGTTACGTACATAAGTACAACCCTAATTCTAATTAAACAAAACTTGGAGCATGAGACTCATATAACTGTTCACAATATGCAAACGCAAAATGATCTAGATCATACATTCTAGATAATTGAAGTGCCAGAAAACACAAAATTTTGCATCTTAAACTTGTAATTCGTTGAAAAAATAACATATATTTAAGAAAATTAATAAAATAGGCGGATTTCTACAATGCGTTTACCTGAAAAAGGTATTCAGCATATTCTGATATATCCCGCAAAAGAGTCCTTCTTGACTCCATCCTTCTAATTCTTTTTGCATAAATATTGCATCTCTGCGGATAAATAACTCCAGGCTAAAAGCTTTCTTGGTCTAAGGGCATAAAAATTATCATCAAAATTTTCAAGCAGGTTCCATTTACAGGAAAGGATAGCCTAATTACATGGAGAGCAAGTTTATCCAAGACCAAGTTCAACAAAAGTAGAAATAAGAAATCTTCTTTATTGTTAAAAACGCTAATTTTTTATATGCACAAAAAGTAAATTGGGGGTTCATACGAACGGTACCTTCGAGCTATAAGATCCTCTTCCCTGGGGGAAAACAAAAAAGCACGAATTTAGCAGCAAAAAAAAAAACACATCAGAAGTTTCATGGAACTCGAATGAATGTTGTAGAGGTTTAAAAAGATAAAGCCTACCATTTGAGTGCATATCAATCTCTAACTAGAAGTTTCAAAATGCATCATTTAAAAGGTTCAAGCAGGGTACTGAATTCTACAAGTGCATAAGGTAAGTGATCAACCGACAAACATATAAAGAGAGAGACCAAACCAGTTTCTGAAATATGTTAGAAAATAAAAAAGAAAAGCGTGCAAAGACCCTGCCATTTTGTCCTTCTTTTTGCCAAAATACTTCGGCCAACTTATAGTTCTTCATGCAACCATCCCTTTAAGCAGTAGTAGATTCAAATGATAAAAGGAGAGAAAAAAGGGTCCAGAATCTAGCTAGGCGTCATAAGACGATTAGTGGAATGGGGATCCGAATTACAAAAATAAACAATAAATGATGAATAACCACAATGACATCTTTTTCTTATCAGAAAAAGTAGAAGAAAAAGAAGAGAAGGGTAGAGAGCGAGAGTAGGGGGAAAGAGGACTTACATAATTCCAAGTGGATCTCCTTTTCCTTTCCAGCACTGAAGAAGAATGGAAGAACGAAACGACTCCGAAAAGGTACAGAGAAGCGGCATGAGTAGTCACGAAAGATTGTTTCACAGCGTGATTCATACTTTCTGATCCAAGCGGCTGCAAAAAGGTACGAGAACAAGGCCGATCTCATCTTCCTCTAATGCTTGCAGACATTTGATTTAGATTTCCTGCGAGCTTCTCAGACGGATTTCTGTTTCTCCTCAGAGAGAGAGAGGGAGAGAGAGAGAGAGCGAGCGAGCGAGCGAGCGAGGGTTGCCGCTTGCTGTCAAAACGGGTCAGCAGGTGTGCTTCGGGTCCGACCGAATCCGATTAAGCTAAGGTCGACCCGTGCTTACAGGTCAAAGAAGTGGATTCAAATTTGACACAGTAGCAATTCAAATCTGACCTGATAATCCATTATAATTAAAAATATATATATTTTAATCATATATTTTAAGTTAATTGATTAAAAATAAGAAGGTTACACCAACAAATAAAAAAATTTAATGAACAAAATATTAAACGGAATATTTTTAAGTCAAAATTGAGTTGGCGGATCAACCTGAATCTGACTCATTTAATAAACATATTAGAATACACAACCTGAGCTCAACCCGTTTATTAAATTGGTCGGCCCAAACTCAGATTTCTTAGGTCTCATTAATAAGTTGGATCATTTATTGATGCATCTAGATCTATCAATTTTTAAGGGTTAGCTCAACTTATTTTAGCGGCAATTAACATGGCTGTTAAAAAAATAACTCTTTTTAATGTCTATTGTTAAAATTCTCATCCTAACACTAAAATACACCCCCCAAAAAATTTATAAGATGAAAGATTACAAGGAAATAATTATTTTTCCATTCCATTTTTGAAGCTTCTCAAGATATAATATGAAGGTAAAAAAAAGTAAAGAAATGCTAAAGACTAATTATTATTCTTAAAAAATAAAAATTATAAAAATTAATTTATCATGGAATTAGAAATGCTAGAGGTAGAACAAAATGAGAGATCAAAATATATGGACATGGAGAAAATGATTGATGAGAATTAAATAAGCTGAGCATTTATGTGAAAAGGTTGGATTAATTCCAGTATAAGATAAGATTAGAGAGTCACCGTAGATGGTTGGGTCGCATAAAACATTGGCCTTCTGATGACCTGATTAGAAAAATAGATGTATTAGATTAGACTTATGTTAAAAAAGGTAGAGGTAGATCTAAAAAGACTTGGTTAGAAAATATTAGAAATAACATTTCTTTATTATATTTAGATGAGAATTTGACTCTTAACATGACATAATGGAGAAAAAAGATTTATATAACCGACCCTACATAGTGGGATAAAGATTTATTGTTGTTATTGAAGAGGTTTACAAAAGCTATCATATAATTATTACATGGGATGTAAATTTCTTAAAAGATACTATATTTTTGTGTGTGTGTAACTGTATATATATAACCTCAATCTAACTATCAATAGGTTCTGAGTTTGGAGTTAAACCATCAGTTGCCTCAAACAGGTTGCTTGTTGGAGTTTCTTCAAATTCAAAGGTTACACCATTAGTAGTGAGAAAGTCATCTTCATACTGGGGTGTCTCATCTTGTTCTAAATTTACTGTTGCAGATTTTGTCTTATTAGATCTAGCACCATTACCCACTGTGATATTACCTGCGCAAATTTTTTCAAAAATTTCGTATTGGTGGAATGGATGCCAACGATATCGTGAAAGCTTTGGTGTAACCTGTAGTACCAGTAAAAGAAAGTAGAAACGAGTCATCCTAATGTACGGTTAATCAAGAGTAGAATTGCATAATTAAATATTTACCTGAACAATTTCCTCCCAAAGCTCTTCAGTAGCAATTGGTATGTGTAATTCCTCATCACAGGCCCAACCACTTTGATTTGTTAGTTGATATAGTGTACGGAAATCAGCTTTCATATTTTTGAATCTAATCATGACCGAAGAATATGTGTAATATGTACCCAAACGTCTATTCAAGACGTTAACAAGATTCGACCACTGCTCCTTCCTTAAGTTACCATTACATATATTTATATGTACGAATTGCTCATATAGAAGCTCGGCTAGCACAACGTTGTGCTCCTCGGGCCACCTAGCAATCCTAGACGTGCTTTTAGGATTGCTAGAGATAACTTCATCTACATGACGTTAGGAGCTAGAGCTACCATGAACCAACCCTTTCCCTTTAAGAAACCTCTTCATTTCTATAAAAAATTAAGGCAACATGTAGTAAGATGATAATTCATTTGACCCCGCACTTTCAATTTAATTATATAGAGTATATTCATGAGTAATACCCTTTCGTCCTTGAAAAACTCTCCAATCAAGATGGGAACCATAATTTTTGAGATTATGGCATTAGATAACTCGTTGTCGCTCACGAAATCAAAAATATCTTTGTCAAATCCGATGTAAAAGGATCGTTTCATTCTGATTTTAATTAGCTTAACAACCATACTACCAATCAATTATTTGTAGCGTTAAAAAAAATGGACTTACAGATGTATGAACTACGGCAACTTCATTTAGCTGAAAGGAAATTTGCTTAACAATTTAATATAGGATGGAAATAGTACAGTACAAAAAGTTATGCATATTTTTATACAGATCTTTCATCAGTGAGAAAATTTTAAAGAAAAAACACATGAAATATGTTATTCTATCTACACATTGCAGGAAATTTTTTTTTTAAGAAGCTCTCAGGGAAAATAAAAAAAAAACACCACGTTAAGAAGCTCTCACCTACCAAAATCAGAGAAAGGAAAAAGCTATTTAGCGCATGTCTGAGGAACCAAAGCAACAATTATGGGAAGAAGAAGATAAATGGGAGAGGTTTCAGTCAGAGCAACAACCTGAGGAAGAAGAAGAAATATGGGAGAGGATGAGTCGGAGATGAGTCAGAGCAACACTCTAGGGAAGAAGAAGAAAAATCAGAGAGGTTGAGGCGACGGGGTAGAGCGCTGGCTTCGTTCCTTTCGGCAAATAAGGGCAACGGTAGAGCTTCACGACATGGGCGCCGCGGGTAAGTTTTCCGCCTAACTTTAAATCCCGATTGAGGGATTTAGTAAATCCCGAATTTAAGCCGTAAATCCGGGATTTACCGAATCCCGGGATTTAACGCGCGCACAAAAACTATTTGGCTGGATTTAGCTTAAATCCGACTTAAATCCCGCTGTAAATCCGATACCAAACAGCCCCTAAGAGTTTAAGGTAGGCTTCTGTTTTCTATTTCTTTAATTTATTCGGATTAATCAAAAGTTGCGGGATTTAATCATTTTATTTGCTTTTTATCAATTTTTATCCATGTAACTTTTGTATGTCATAATACTTTCCATTTGAAGATTTTGTCCGATTAAATTTGAAATTTCATCCGTTGGCTTTCCATGTGAGATTTCTGTGTATTTTGTAATTAAATATGAATTATATTGAAAAACATTACAATTGAATAAAAGCCCATAAGTGTTTTTGTGTATTTTGTAATTAAATATTAATTATGTTGAACTTTTTTTGAACTATTATAAATAAATATTTTTGGATTATATACTGGATGATTAGTTGACTCTAATAGACCAAATATTGAGATTGGGCTAGGTTAAGTTAGGATGAACTCCTCCCTAGATCGCACTTATCACTTGATTTAGAGATGAAGTAGCTCATGTTAGAGACACAAGATGCGAGCCTCCGGAATTCTTTTACATTTCTTGTAGGGGCCATACTTCACATTGCTTAAACTTTGACTAAAATTTCATTTGAAACGACTTTCTTACTGCTTCTTAAAGTAGCTTTTTTAATTCAAAAATTAAAAATTTTATACTAGAACCTACTTCATTTTATTATGATATTTTTGCACCAATACCAAATTTGAAATTTGATTTAGGTACATTACCTAACAAGTGGAGCTAAAGTTGAAAAACTTATTCTTTTGCTTAACAAACTATCATTCCTTTATAACATTCAACTAATAGCAAGTAATGTTCATATCGAATTCAAATATGGCAGTCATTGATATTGCATAAGGAAATATAACATTTAGTTGCAAATGATTGACTGGCTTCTTTGGAACTCATCATTAACATACTCATTGAGAGAGAGAGAGAGAGAGAGAGAATTACAACAAAAATTATTTTGTTCTTCCACAGTTTAAAGTGACATGATAGCTAAAATTACAAAAAACTAAAGCTTCTCAGATACCAGTATTGGGATTGTTTCCAGCGAGAATAAGGGAAATCTCCAAACCTCTGCTGAAGGCCTGATTGAACAGAAGCCTTGTTTGGAAAGTAGAGACGAATGGGAACCATGAAAAAATGGCAATAGGAATGAATATGAACATTCCCATCCCAGCATCGTAAAGTCTAGCAAGGGAACGCAGTGATTTCCACAAATGCAACTTCTTCATCACAGGCTTCCATGCAACGGCTATCTGATTTTCACAAATCAATTTATGCAAATGTGAGTATGAGGGAATTTTATGAAAAACGCAGATAGAAAAATAGATTAGACATAAGTAGTCCACCTATAATCAATCAGATTTATTCAAAAAATTTTAGGATTTGCATTACAAATACATTGATAAAATTTCAAGAGAAATGCTCAGAAGATTTTTTTGCTATTTCAATTGGATTACATCAAGCATTTGCTTTAAGCCCATAATGCTCTTACAAGACAATTGCAACAAGTTGTACCCTAGTGTATGCTTTTTTGCTTATGATATTCTTCTTGTTGATAAGATTAAAGATGGAGTTGAAGGAAACTTGAATTATGGAGTCAAATTTAGGTTCTAAAGGTTTTCATTTGAGTAGATATAAAATCGAATATATAGAGTGTAATTTTAGTAGGAATAGATTTAATGGGGGGATTGTGGCTTTAGACAATCAAGTCATTAATAAGAGTATAAGAAAAAATTAATAAGATTGTGGATATACTTACGATGCTTTATTACGTAGAATGTTGGCTATTAAAATAGAAGCATAAAATTAAGTTAAGTGTTGTGTTGTAGAGATTAGGATGCACAAGTGGATGAGTGGATTTACACTCAGAGACAAAATGTGAAATGATTATATACATAAAAAGGTTGGAGTAGCTCCAGTGGCATATATAATTAGAGAGAGTCATCTTAGATGGTTTGGTCACATAAAACATTGGCCTTCTGATGATCCGATTAGGAGAGTAGACAAAGATGTATTAGATCCGACCTATGTTGAGAAAAATAGAGGTAGACCTAAAAGGACATAGTTAGATTTTTTATTAGATTTAAATAAGAATTAAACTCTTAATAAGACACAATGAAGAAAAATGATTTATGTAGCTGATCCAATATAATGGGATAAAGGCTTGTTGTTGTATTACAAATACATGGACTAGTATAGGGGAAAAATTGACAAGTTTTACTTGAATAAAATAAAGCAAATAAATTGTTATATTTGAAATCTATATTATATATTTGAAGCTTAAAATGCACGCAACTTTTAAAATAATTCATATGCACCAATATTATACACATGAGCTTATCAAGACTTCACATAGAACACCAGGCAGGCATGGTGAATCCGGAAAATTAAAATCAGAATATCAGGAAAATAGTAATCAAAACCCAGAAGACACTATGCTCCAGGAGGGGAATATGGTTAACTACTTGGCAAAACTTTGGTTTAAAACGATTGAATGAAAAAAAAAAGCAATCAGGTACTCACAGAAAGAATCGCCCATCCTGTGGGTATGAATGCTAAGATGCAAGCAAATATATCGGCGATTGATAGCTTTGTAAGTGCAACTGCAGCAGCTAAACCCGCTAATACCAGCATGAATGAGATGCTCTGAATGAGGCGCAGCAGCAATTGGAAATTTACAGAGGCCTTTTGGCTAAATGTGAACACCTGCCGATTACACAAGATGCAGTTATATACCTTAAAATCAAATCATGGTTACATAGTAATTTTTCCATAGGTAATATACAACAAAAGACCTGAAAAAGAATGAACAACACCGCCAGCACAATCCAAGAGAGTCCATAAACCTGCAGGAATAATGTCTAGGTCATGAGCAAAAACATAACACATGGATTTTGGCATCATAACTTTAGAGGTAACGGCAATCAAACGTGTAACTTTCTTTCATGACTTTATGTTTAATTCCCCACTCATTACAATACCTTTAAATATAACTTTCTCCAATAATTTGAAACTCTTCACATGCAAAATTTCAATTAAAAATTACCAACCAAAAAACTCCAAGGTCAACTGCAACTCTTCAAATCTTAATATAACATCTCATCTAGACACACAGTTCACTCATCATGCATCCTTTTCAGAGAAAATGCCCCTTTCACTAATTTTGATCGATCTATAGCATATATCATTAATCTGTTCATTATATCCTTCATTAAAAAAAAAAAAAAAAAGCAAAAACAAAAATCTTCCTTCAAACGCTCATTTGAGCAATGTCTTAAATTATCATTTTGATCGTTATTTGATGTCTTCATCTATAGCTAATATTTCAATACATCACTTAATGCTTAATTCAATCAACCTCTCTAGATTTCTTATATTTTATTTTAGCTATTTTTATATATAATTTTTTCCTAAGTACTTATTATTTAATTATGATACAAGGATTTGCTATAAAAATTAATTAAGATGTAAAAATTTTCATAATTGAGAAAGATATAAAGAGATCCGTAAGGAGTCTAAGAAAGTAATATGTGATGCAAAAATTTTAGCTTTTAATGATTTATATAATAGATTAGATACTAAGGAGGGCGAAAGATATATGTATAAGTTATCCAAACATAGGGATAAGAGTTGTAAGGATTTAGTTCAAGAGAAGTGTATTAAGGATGAAGATCAAAAAGTGCTTTTATTAGAAGAGAATAATCAACAAAGATGGATGAGATATTTGTATAAACTCTTCAATGAAAATTATGAGAAATGCAATTGACTTTAATGACCATAGCATCCTAAAGGAAAATAAAGATTTTTGATTTTATCGGCGTATTAGTAAAACCGAGGTTAGAGAGACTTTAAAGAAAATGAACTGTGGAAAAGCAGTTGGACCTAATGATATTCCAATAGAGGTGTAAAAATGCTTAGGAGAGATAAAGAAATTTCTTGTCTTACAAAACTTTTCAATATAATTTGAAGACTAAAAGGTTGCCAGATGAGTGGATAAGAAGTGTATTGATTCTTATTTTTAAGAATAAAGGTGATGCACAATAGTGTGCGAATTATAAAGGAATTAAGTTAATGTGTCATACTTTAAAAGTATGTGAGAGAGTTATGGAGCATAGGTCGCAATGTGATACTAATGTTTCTCAAAATCAATTTGGATTCATGCCGGGTAGGTCTACTATGGAAGCTATATGGTCCGTTTAGGAAAATAGATGTATTAGATTCGACTTATGTTAAGAAAGGTAGAGGTAGACCTAAAAAGACTTGGTTAGAAAAAATTAGAAATGATCTTTCTTTATTAGATTTAAATGAGGATTTAACTTTTAACAGAACATAATGGAGAAAAAAAGATTCATGTAGCTATCACCATATAGTGGGATAAAGGCTTGATGATGATGATGCTATTGTACTTGGTATTTAAACCATCAAATGCTATAAATCGGCTTTGCTCACTATCTTCTTTGTAATAATTTTGTTTTACAGTCAGTACAAATCTCAATACTATTTATTTTTTTATCTATTATTTCATTTTCCTTTCTAATCTTTTATACCTATTCAATCCACCACCAAGTCTTATTGCTAATACACAATCTATTTCTCAAATCTTCAACAATTTCCATAATAATATTTTTAATTGGACTAACCATCTTATCCCACATTAGATTTGGTTCAACTATAAAATTCAAGTTTGCCACTTATCTTGAAATATACGAAACTAGAAATTTCTATCAATTTCTTTACTACTAAAATATGCATCATAACTGCTATATTTAATATGGTAAAATTTTCTCATCATCTTACAAACTTTGCAAAAAAGCTTCTCATTCTTTCTAATTTAAAAGAACAAACCTATCCGTGTATTGGTTACTCCACTTCTAAAGTAACTACAGGCACTTCATGCGATGAGGACATCGTCAGCATTTTCGACGCCGGAGATCGACGGCCACGAGCATGAGTTGTATTTTAATCATCTTATGTAGTAGTTTATTTTTACTTTATGTTTTTCCGTTTTTGCCCTTATGGGTATTTGATAGCTATTGAAGCCCAAGGGGCATTTTAGTCTTTTGTTTTTCTTTGACATTGTGAGGCCTATTTATATGGCCCTTCTCATGTAATAGTTAGTTTTTTGATGAAATGAAATTTACTACTATGTGTTCTCTTTGTGAGTTCAAGAAGATCTCTTGGTGAGTTCTTCACCCTCCTCGATCTCTTAGTGAGTTCGCCGGAGAAGACTAGATCTCTTTGTGAGTTCTAGTTCGTGCCAACTAATCTTGTCGAAATTCAACGAGAAGACATTTGAGGTTAGTAAATTCGTAGTCGTCAAATCTTCAGAAGATTCCATCTCTTCCTCCTTGCCCTTGCCGCTGCTTGCTCCAAGCAACCCTAAGCCGCCGGCCACCTTGCCCCTTCCTTCCTATTTCGCTGGCCAGAAAAACAGCCACCACCGGCCGGCCACCCGCCGGCCAGATCCACACCGGCCAATCCAATCCGCCCACCTGTTTTCAAAATTTGAAATCCCATGCCAAGGCTTTAATTTCTTTCCTATTATACATCTCCTTCTATTAGGAAATTTGGCCTATTTTTATTTCTTTTCATTTAACGTGAAATCCCCAACGGCTAGAAGCTAAAGCCATTGCTGCTTGCTGGTCTGTGATCCCAGCAAGGTTAATTTGCTGCCAAGCAATTCCCAAGAATGCCAGAGATTGTCTACAGCCTCTGTTAATGCCTAGCTGCTGTCCGAGCTTGCTAGAAGTCAGACACACTGCTGCCAATCAGATTTCTGCACTCCCATGCAGGCCGGCCAGCCACTGAATTCATCCCATCACCGTTTAGACCTTCCATGGTTGCTGTTTAGAGCTTCGAGCACTTGAAACCTACTGTTCGGGCAACCTGGGACGTATAATCGCTGTCCAAGAATTGCAAGCTTCAGCTACCTATCCACGAACGACGATCTAAGGGCCCTTCTTCCTCAGAGTGACCTCGGTTCTAATGTGGAGACGCTTCTTCCGCTAAAGCCTAGATTAGTGAGCGTATGGGCTCCAAAGGTGAAAGTTCTCTTTATTAATTCGTGGATTCTTGTTTATTGTCGTAGCGTACAATTATTCTTTGCATTTTCTTGAATTGATTGGTTAATCGAATTGTCGCTCTTCGTTGCCTAAGCGAGTTAAAACTAAGAATTCTTAGGTTCACTCTTTTATTACAAATGATAATTTTAATTTGGATTACTTTGTTCAAATTGCTCTCTATAATTTCCTAAAGTAACTCCATCGCATGTACGTTTCACATCATCATGTTTCTTAAAACATCGTCTTAAAGTATGCTTATAACTACTTACAATGTGGATAAATGAGTAATTATAAAGCTTGCAGAGTAAACAGTTCATAATCAAGCATATAGACAACGATTAAATACCCACATTCAATATTACTGCAAAGAATTCGCAATGTCAAAAGCAATGATTATAGAAAAATAAATACATTCTAAAGGATATTGATTTATGAAATTATTGAAGCTCAATTGAAATATTGGTTTTTACCGTCAGCGATGTATCCTTTCCAGAAGCATGAAGCTTGTATACAATGCCATATTGAAAGACAAAAAATCTTAAGCTCAATATAGTTTCTAGTATCCTTCCACGCAGCGTACGAATGTGTGCCTGCATTTAACACAATAAAATCCAAACTAAAATGCAATAAACTTTGAGAATAAAACTGATGATTCCAACCAATATAGACAGGAGACTAACATGCAAATGATATGGTGGAGAGGGAGACGAAAGAACTCCAGGAGCATAACTTAGAAGTAACCAGCATATATGATTTAGATCATAGGTATACTCAATGATCCCATAAATAATCATATTTCATTCATAATCAACAATCAATTATTAATCATCATGAGTCCATATTTATAAAAACTCGGTTTATAATAATAAGGCACAGTATTTAAAAGCAAATACTATCCAATCTCTTGAAATAACCAAAAAATTTTGGTCAATCTATTTTCATTTACAGAAATTCAGTAATTTATGAATAACTTCCCATCTATAACAATCCAACAATTGGTAGACTACAACTTTCTAGTTTTCCTACGTGGTTAATTTTAGATTCCAGAATTTAAAAATAGTTTTTATTTATTTATTGTCCTGATACTTATTTCTTTATTTATTTATATACATCTTCTTATCTTTTTTTTTTTTGCATAAAATAACAAAATAAATACAATCATAAAATCTCCTATTTTTTCTTCTCCTCTCTTCACATTCTAATGCTCAAGATAGTATTAGAGCCATTAATGTTCTATTATCTATGAGACTGGCAGGTCCTTCACCCACACTGAAGAAACCCAATCTTAATCCTATAGGAGTGGCAAAAACATATGTGAAGGATTGTCTTGGAAAGAAGCTGGTGGCAACTGCTATGAAGATGTCAGTGGCCAATAAGCCAACAACTCCAACTCAAAATGCTGAAAATCAACCTCAAAATCAATGATGAAATGGTGGAATTTGAAATTCAAAAGAGTTGCAATAAACAAAAAGCTATCTCCTCGCTAATTTAGTTATTTGAATAACAAACTAAAGACAACCAACTATTCTTCTAATAGGAGTTTATTCTAAAACATCACCGCAATAAATTTGATTACTAAAAAAGGTATATTCTCAAATTCCTTCATTACAAACAAGAAAACTATTACTTTGAGAATTAGTGGCATCAAATCATACGAAAAGATACAAATATCTTCTAGAATTATAGTCCTGTCATGAACATTTTGATGTCCATACTGTAGTGGAGTCACCATTAAAAGTGCTCATAATATATTTTATTATTATTTCAAAAAGCCTGATAATTGATTTTGTGCTTCATGTGCCTTAGATTGCAGCTTACTATCAATCACAAACTCATCACCTTTTCAAAACACCCAACTTATGTAAAATATGTTTTTAGTCTATATTATAAATGGGAAAAAGAAAAACAAAGTAGAACAATCAACATATCGTCAACATACCCAAATATTAAAATCTACTTCAAAGATCAATGTAGTACAAACTGGTGTGAATAATCTATGATTTCAGTACTTATAAAGGGACTTCACCTAGATTCTATACTTCTATCACTTCTATTGATAATATGCAAATTCTAAATAATGTTCATGAAGCTGTTAAAATGCTCAAGTTGAAGAAAACTTGATGAGGACATCAGATTTAGACATGTGTACCATCATCAGAGACGCAGATCGACGGCTACGATCCAGAGCCTTTATTTCTGATTTATTTTGTATTTTATTTATTCTCGCATTTTATTTTCCTAGTCTGCCCCTGTGGGTATTGAGCCGCTTATGTAGCCCTGAGGGCATTTGTGTCTTTTTAGCTTTGTTTTATCTTGGCCTATTTAAAGGAGGCCTCATGCATTGTACCAGTTGATGAATTGTTAATGAAAATTTTTATGCTACTTGTTTGATCTCTTAGTGAGTTCATGAGAGGAGAGACCTGAGGAGGGTGATAGCAAGACCCGTCAACCATTGGTGGATTCCAAGGTTCGCGGCCCGTTCTCTACTTCTTCCCGAAATCATCACCTTGTCATCCCCACCACCCGCCGGCCTCTCTCCAACCCCCGTTCGACTTCCCAAGACCGAACCCAAACCCTCAACCCGTGACCTCCATGGAGCCTCCCCCACCCGCTGGCCGGCCATCTAGCCGCCGGCCTCCAGCCCTCTGTCCACCGGCCACCGTTTCCCCTTGCTCCACCCGCCGACCCACCTTCCCCAAGCCTACGCATTTGAAATTCAAATTTCAAAGAGGCATTAATTGCTTTCCTAAAATAAGTCTAAGTAATTAGGAAAGCTACTTACTTGAATTTCAATTCAAATTTGAAATTCAAAAGCTTTCCAAATAGTAGCACTTAAACTAGGGAAACACCCCACCCCCTCTTTTAAATAATATATGAAATTTAATTCAGATTTTCTTTAAATCTTTGATTAGTGTTTGGACCCCACTTAATGATGCACTCATGTTTTTAATTTATCTTGTTTTGATGTAATATGAACAATATATAACTGTGCTTTATGTTTTTTTTAAGCTATCAAATGATGGAAGGCATCCAATGATCGTGGTAGGGGGGTTTAGGTATGGCGAGTCTTAGGTTTACCAGCAATTGAGTCCTTCCCGTCCTTTGGGCTGCTTGCTGCATTTGGTTTGGGGCCTTGGCTGTCTCGGGTTGGGCTATGGCTGCTTGGGTTGAGCTTAAATGAAGTTGGGCTCTACTTGGTGTAGCTCATTAATGCTTGAGCTGAAGTTTAGCTCAATAATTGGTGGAATAAATTCACTTCCTAGCTCATAAAATCAAAAAGGTATTCTCATTATTGTGGAGTGGACCTGTGTCTCTTCCCTTCTCGGTTTTCCCCTGGCTGCTTTCCCGTGAGTCTCTGCCCCGTTTCCTGTGCTGGCTTCTCGGGTCTTTTGCTGGCTTGGTTTCTCGTAGCTTTTTCTCCCTGTTTTCTGTGCAGTTTTTGTGGGATATTGTGGTGTCTTTTGACCTTTCATTTCCCCAAAACTAATTGGTTTTGGTTTGAGGGGTTGTGGCTGTTTAGCTTCTTCCTTTTGCCTATAAAATAGAAATGTTTTGAGTTGGAAATGGTTGTTGAAAATCTGAGCAAAGTCTCTACAAAAACCTGAGGGTTTCTTCTCTTGGAAAAGCTTGAGAGCTTGTTCCACCCCCTTTCCTCCTCTCTATTTTGTCTTGGCTTCTAACCTTTTATTCTCTACATAAGTTCCACACCACCTGTATCCTTTTTGAGCATTTGGAAGTTGTTTGTTGGCTGATTTTGGAGGTATTTGCCGGAGGACTTTGCTAGGACGCTGGACTCTTTTGCTGTGGTGGGCCCTTGGTTTGCAAACCTAAACACTATCTTTTATATTTCTCCTACATTCGATGCATGTGAGGAAACCGCTAGACGGTTGTTATGAGGATAGCGTTTTTATGATTTTATTTTGTTTCTTTTGATTTATCTTTTGTTTGGCCGGGTGTTTGTTTGGTTGATTACAATCTATATTGAAGCGAGTTTGGTTTTTTTTTTTTTTTAATTTTTTTATTTTGTCTTTGTGTTCTCCAAGTTGGTTCATCAGTCTAGTCTGCATCACATCACTTAATTAATCTCAATTCCCCTCTACCCTCTCTCTATTTGGCCGGCCCCCCTCATTGGGTTTTTCTCTCCCCTATTTCATTAATTACTCCCCATTTAATTCCCCTAATACCTCTTAAACCGTCGGCCCCATTATGGGATTAATTTGATTTTCAAATTAATTTCCCTCCCATCCCACCTAATTAGAAATAAAAATTCAGATTTCTAATTATCTCTCCCAAGCCTCTACCTAGCCCACCCGCCCCTTCTCCCCTTCATCCTACCTGGGCCGAATTCCTCCCAAGTGACGGCTCCCTCTCCTCAACGTTTCTACACACGACAAGGATTCCCCATGGTCATGCATGGCCGATATGGAGCATGTGTTAGACCGGTCCAGGCGGGACCGGTTCACGGACAAAATCGCAAAAACGGCGGAGATTCCGCCTCCTGGCGGAGAACGAGCGGCACGACCGCTCAAACAGAGCGTTTTAGGAAGGATTTTTGGGGGGTTTCAGAGAGAAATTTGAATTAAGGGACTGTTTAGGGAATTCTTTTTGATTTGTATGCATTAAATAGATGTTTTTCCTAGGGTTTGGGCATCTTGAATTTGGCTGAAATTTGAGATCTCTTAGATTTAGGTTTTCTTTGGGCTCTAGCGGCGTCTAGAGATTTGGGAGAGATCGATCCTCCTCTCGAATTGAGGATCAATTGTATCTTTGTTGTTTTCTTCTTCTACTAGTGGAATACAAATCTTGCTTTGAGTTTTCTTTCCAATTTCCTCTAAAATTCTGCTGTAAACAGCAGATTTGCTGTGTTTTTCTGCTGTGGACAGCAGTTTCCATCGGATCTACTTCAGTTTTGGTGAGAAACACTTGGGAATCAAAGTGTTTCCTATCAGCATGACCACGAATTTGTGTTCGACTATCAAGGAGACATCGACGTCACCCAATCGCAGTTCTTTGACATTAGGTTCGGATTCAACCACACTGTCGAGGACTACTTGAACCACATCCTTCTCCATCTCGTGGACATCCTCGATGAGCAACTACCGGAAGTGTTTCCTATCAGCATGACCACGAATTTGTGTTCGACTATCAAGGAGACATCGACGTCACCCAATCGCAGTTCTTTGACATTAGGTTCGGATTCAACCACACTGTCGAGGACTACTTGAACCACATCCTTCTCCATCTCGTGGACATCCTCGATGAGCAACTATCGGCAGATGAGTGGACCATCACCGGGCGCCTACCCGCTCCCCCAACTCCGGCGACTAGTCCCCTCAGCATCACTTCTTTATTAGTGGCATCCTTAAGTTTATGTGCAATCATCTTCCGCTAAGCCGAGCGATAACAAGAGCGTATGTGAGGGACTCCGAGGTGAAGGATCTAGATCTTAAACCGTGGATTTATGCTAATTGCCATTTGTTTTATTATTTCTTTGGTAGTATAATTTTGTTAGTCTCTTGTGCTTTTAATTGTAATCCATTGACATTGATAAGTTCTTCCGTGGAAGTTTTTTGACGATCTATCTTGACAAGCATCCGTTTATATTTAACTTCGCAAGTTCATAAATCCTTAATTTCTTCACGCAATTCTTGATTGTATCACATCAAAACTATAATGGAATAAATCCATGCCTTAGAAAATAAAGTTAACAAGGAAACTTTTGAACTTACACTAGAGGGGTATAAAAACTTGTTGGATGCAACAGGATCTTCATAGTCAAATATTAAAAAAAAAGGGAGGGGGGGGGGGGGATAAAGCCTGAATATGGGGGGGGGGGGGGGGAGATAAAGCCTGAATATTTGCAAAAGGGCACAACCAAATACACAGTATTAACCGTCAAGAAAATCTCTCCCATTCACCAACTCAACATAATTTGAATTTGCTCGCTATCATAGCAAAACACCAATCTATGATTTCAGTACTTGTAAAGGGATTTCACTTAGATTTCTCACTACTATCCAGCATTTTAAGAGATTTTGTGGATTGATTCAACCTATTTGTGCGTACTGCATAATGGTAAGTTGTAAGTTACAAAGCAAAGAATATAACATCCAAATGCATTTCAACCATACGAAAACTAGGATATATTTGTGGATTAATTATGATTCAATTAGGATAATATGTTCGGTTTACTCATCTTCCTTGCAAAACATTCTATAGAAAATCATGCATCCTAGTGCAATTGGTTATTTCAGCACTAACCAGTTTAGAATTCCATATTCCGAAACACTTCACTATGATTTTAATTTGTTTCTTGATGGATAATGCAAACATGAAGCTAGAATTTTTTCTTAATCCTAACTACATAGCAAATAAATCAAACAAAATACTTTTATTTTTGCCAGAATATTTATAAGGAACAATAATATCTACTGAAAGGATAAATGTAAAGATTAAAACATATAGAAAAGAGATGGACAGCAAGATAAAACATTTAACGCAAACAGTGAACTAGGCAGCCAAAAGATAGAAACGTTCATATTTTCTTCTAAATGCATATTTGATTATAAGCATTTCTCGAGTAATTCGTGACAAATTAATTAAAAAAAAAATCAAACAATATGTATTTGTCTGAGTGATGAAATTGAATATCACAGACAGATTTAGTGAAAAATGTTCTCTGCATATCATATGTATTGCAGAAAAAGTAAAGAATGAAAACATGATTAACATCATAGTTTCCAAATAGAAAGAATAATATATCAACAATAATAGTTTTATGAACATTTGAATCTTATTCTGAATTGATCCAGTGGTTTGCTTGGAAAGTAAGATTACCAGTTCCTCGTCCCACCAAGCCTCCCAGCTTTCTTCACCTTTGACTCCAATTCCCCCTCGATATAGTAACCAATTTGTCCACTCTCGAAAATCTTCCACAGTTCTGATGACATCGAAGCCAAGAAACAAAAAAGGGAACTTCTTCAGGAGGCATTATTTGCTAGGCCATTGAAGAGTCACGGAATAATAATCATACAAAAATTGAAATAAAAAATTTAACAGAAGCTTCAGAGTGACCTTTGAACAATTAAGGGAAAGAAGGAACTACTCACTTTTGCCACTCAAAACCAGAAGGATTAAACACATATGGAGCAAAAAGCCAAGATAATGCCATGAACCAACTACTAATAGAGAGTAAAATGTAAGAGAGGGCACCACCCTTATTATCTCCATAGGCAAGGTATACAATCAATAAAAGTACGACTTCCAATCTGCACAATCAAAAACCAATGAGATGGGACTGAACAGCTAACTTACATCATTTAATTAATTGGAGGAAAAAAAAGCCATACCCCTTCACGAAATGACTGCGTGAATATAACCTGTAATTTTCTGCGAACTTTATATGACGGACAACAAAACCCCTACCAGTTGCACGATACTAAATGAAGAAACAATAACTTGATTTATACAGATGTTATTTTACTGGAATCATAAATAAAAAGTCGTCAACTTGTTGTCACCTTTGCACCTCCGTGGAGTATTGTCCGTCCAAAGTAGTGAGTCCTTGTTCCAAGCGAGAAAGTGAAAAAGACAGAGCAGAGCTGCAATTGCATGGTAACAAAGCTAATAATAGCCTGCAAAAGATCAAACAACCAAAAAACTTTAAGCGTCCAAAACTGGCCATGATCATCATTAAGAGAGTCTGCAAATTTTATAGATAGAATGGCATGATCATTCTTCAAATATCTTGAAGAACTTTAAAAAGCATTTCAGCAGTAATATTTCTTTATAAAAGAAGAGTTAACCTAATTCTTGACAGAATTTTCTCGACTAATTTGATAAGTTTTATACTAATTGACTTGAGGCCAAGGCACTGGTGCTTGATGATAGAGTTTCACAGTCGGTGCAACTGACAAACACAGCATGCAGACTAGATGGGCCAAGTGGTGCTCTTGCATGTTTTGTGCAATACCATGCGGGTTCCTCACTGAACCTATCTCGAAACAAGGACCATGGAGCCGACAATGCATGTGAGCCATTGGATCATAAAGCACACATGGCATAGGCAAGCTGCTGAATGTATACTTTATTTAGGCGCAGTATTCACAAACCCTGATGATTTGTGAAGGATTGAGTGAGAGCATGTTTGTTGGAACTGAAAAGATGGTGAACTATTCCTAAGGAAAAAGTCAAAGGAAACACGGGGGGAGGCACACAACGATACAAACATGCAAATCATTAGTCTGACTTGAACGAGAAATTGAAGTGCTCTTGGTCCCACAGTATACCAAGTGAGGAGGTCTCTGTCATAAAGGATTTTGAAGGGTGTAGTCTACGCTGCGCTATAGTAGGATGTATTGTATTAGTACTCACCCAAGGTAACCACTTCACCCAAGTCTTGGGTGTTTTCTATACAAAATATCTCAAATAAGTCTCCACACTCATTATGCCCATCAGTCTGCTCATTAGTCAGTGGATGGTATGTTGTACTTATCTTCAAAATAATACCCTGCATCCTAAATAGCTCTCTCCAAAAGTGGCTCACGAACACCTTGTCTTACCTGACACTATGGACTCCGAAATTCCATGAAAGCGGACCACCTCTTGAATAAATGTTGCTGCCACTAAAACTATAATGTATGTGTGTTGTAGCCTTGTAGGGAATAAAGTGAGCACACTTGGTTAGCCTATCCAATATTACCAAAATCATTGAAAGCCCCTCCGATATTGACTCCAGCTGACAACCTTCCCAATTGGCTCGAGAAGTACTCAAACTTCTCCCGGTACTCCATCGTCCCCTCCTACACTAGACCAAAGAACTGTTCATAAAATTCTCCTTCCTGATTGGTTTGGAAACATTCTAGTAAACAGACTTTGAACTCCCTTCATGATTGGATCAGATCTCGCAAGTCTTTCCACTGGTACTAGGATAGAGTCTTCCCTTTCAGACAGAGCGATTTTCGTGAGTTTTTTTTTATCTTCCATCAACCTGTTTACAACAAAATATCGCTCCACCCTATAAATCCACCCGTAAGCATCTACTCCCTCAAAAATCGGCATATTCAACTTTCTTACCCTAGGATCTCCACCGCCTCAATAGCTTCTTCCTCTAGTGTAGCGGGTGTTGTGATCCCTCCAAGTTTCTATCTTTCCCAAATCAACTATTCGATCTTCATCATCTAAATTTCTTCGCCAACTATGCCCTAACCGTTCCCCTGCTTAGAAGTGGCTCCAAAGATGGCATCTCCTCTTCTTCCCAAAACATTTTCACCTACCAATCCTCCCTCATCGTCCGTATATTAATGTTTCCCCCAATTTTTTATCTGATCAACAATTCTCTTGCCTCCAATGATGTTGTTTTGACTTGAAACTCTAACATCATTTTCATCATGTCTTCCATATTCGAAAATATGTCCTCAATTGCTGAAAATCACTCTCCGAATTCAGATTTCAGATTTCCAACTTTCCCATCAAGTCTGTCCTCTAATGCATCAGCCTTATTAGTCGTCATAGATTCCCAAAAAAGTGCTATGATGCCAATTTGGTAGGAATCCGATCTCCACACAACAAAAACAACAATAATAAAGAGAAAATGCAGCATAAATCAGCAAGAAAGAATGATATATAAACACAACAAACCAATATACAAGTTAATCTACTATTCAAGGGGTAGATCGACTCTCCACAAACTCCAGATTCCGCTAGGAATAACTGATGTGAAACAATATGTGATGAACAAGAATTGCCTAGGCGAAATTAATAAAGGTGATGAAATTAATCTTGCTAAAAATAAATCTTTGCTTGCTCAAGATTGAATTAAGAAGTTAATGTGAGATTTAGTAAGGGCAATAGATTACATGTAGAGATTACGGTAACTTGCAAAATAACAACTAAACATTTAAATAATGCAAATAGCTAATGATAACAAAGCCCCAAATTTAAAATCTAGATCGTTCACCTTGAGTTTCGTCACTCGTTTTGAAAGTGGTGGCTAGAAGAAGAGAATCGAAAGTAGACTTAGCGACGCCACTAATAGACAAGTGATCTTGAGAGGACTTGTCGCCGGGAAGGAAGCCGGGTTCGAAGGAGCGGGTGGACGGCCGTCAATGATCCACTCGGAGTCCGGGCGTTGTTTGCCGATGACGTGTATGAGCGTCGGTAGGATTCGATCAAAGTAGGCTCCAACAATATCTTCGTCGGACTCAAATCTCGCGTCGAAGAACGGCGATCGATGGATGTCGAGGTTGCCGTGAGCGTCGAACACAAGTCCCCATTCAAGCTCGGGGTCCGCCATGCATGGTGGGAAAGGGGAATGAGGACCAAGAGGAAAGAGGAGAGGGCAAAACGTGAGCCCGTGGAGGGAGGGGAGTCACGGGTAGGAGAGGGGGTAGGGGCGGGTAGAGTTGTGGGGGATAAAAGCTAGAATTCTGAAATTGATTTCAGATTTTCGGAATTGGCACCCTTCTAATTTTAATTTCAGAATTTGAAATTGAAATTAGGATCAGGAGGGAAGGGGTTAAAGAGATATTAAAGAAAATTAAAAGGGGAAAGGGAAGGGGTTCGCCGGCCATGTAGAGAGGAGAGGGGAAATTAATTTTCATTAGGTGGGGCCCATGGTTAAGTAATTAAATCCTAATCAAATTCTGAAATTATAATTTCAGTTTTAATTGGGATTTAAGTAACTTCCCAATTTGGTTTAAAATGAGAGGGAAACGAATTCAAATTTCAAAATAGCTCTAAGTGTCATTAATTACCTTGCCTTAAGAAGAATTCTTGATTAGGCAATTAATTAAGTCACCAGGAATTGGAATTCACGGCTTGGGCAAGGCATGGAGGTCCGGCGGCAAGGGAGCTGCAGGGAGACGGTGGGCTGGAGGCTCACGACTTGGCTGTTTAGCCGTGAGTTGGGAGCAGCAGGGGGGGAGGGGGTGGCTGCACGGGGAGAGCACCAGGACGGCGGCCCAAGGGCTGGAGGGTGGACTGGCCGGCGGTCGGTAGCCAGGTGCCCGACGGCTTGGGTGGCTTGGGGCTAAGCGGTGGAAATTGCAAGGGGAGGAAGAGAGGAAAGATTCAAGGGATTCAAACGACTATAAATTTACTAACCTCAAATATCTTCTCTTTGAATTTCCACAAGATTATCAAGCACGAGAATTAGAACTCACAAAGAGATCTAGTCTTCTCCGGCGAACTCACTAAGAGATCTAGGAGGGAGGAACTCACAAAGAGAACAAGTAGTAAATTTCATTTCATCCAAAACTAAATCATTCCAATACATGATGCCTCATATAAGGAGGCCCAAAATAAAAGCTGAAAAGATAGAAATGCCCTTTGGGCTACATAAGCAAAACAATGCCCTCAGGGGCAAACTAGGAAAACTAAAATACATATGAAATAAGCTGTAAATAAATCAGAAATAGAGGCTCTGGATCGTAGCCGTCGATCTGCGCCGCCGGCGATGATACACGTGTCTAAATCTGATGTCCCCATCAATAACTCCAAAGATAACTACAACAAAACACAATTCACATAATGAAAATAAAACAACCTAATAAACCGTAAATAAATCTTCCTAATTCCCTCCCAAATTTGGATTCAAATCAGCCCTCTTTCTCTAAATAAACCTTCCAAATTTCCTTCCAAATATGAATTCAAATCAGTCAACTTTCCTTAAATAAACCTTCCTAATTTTCTTCTAAACATGAATTCTAATCTGTCATCTTTTCTAAAATAAACCTTCCTAATTCTCTCCCAAATTTGAATTCAAATCAGCCATCTTTCACTAAATAAACCTTTCTAATTCCCTCCTAATTTTGATTTTCTATGGGAGTAATTAAAGGTAGAATTAATCCCCTTTGAGCCCCCCTCTCTTCTAGCTCGCCACCCACAATAGTAGGGCCGACAGGCTCAACTGATCCATCAAAATATCGATGTGACATATAGAGAGAGACAGTAGATGTCAAACGGTGACAATCATGATAATGTAAGCGTGGTATACTTTAGAGAAACTCTTGACCTAGCATATAACTTAAAAAATACATAAGGTTGCACTAACAATAATTCTCATGATTCCTCTTTAAAGGGAGTTCTTAATTTATCTGCATAATCTTAACGATAGTTTCATAGTTGAATGGTCCTATCAGCCTGCCAAACTTTTTAACCATCTGAAAATTGGTATATGCAAATTAACAGGCCCTTCCTAAACCTGTGGTTTCCAAGACATTATTGAAGAAAATATCTTTATATAAAAATGGTTTTACGTGAGACTTGACAGTTCTGCTTAAATTTTGTATATCTCTTCTTACAATTCACATAGAGTCCATACTAAAAATAAGAAAGAATAGATAAAACATAATAAAAACATATTGTAGAGTCATTACTCTTAGAAAGCCTTGTTCCAAGATGAATCCCAGGACCATTGGAACTGCCGAAAAAATACCAATTTGGAACAAGAACTGGGCGTTAAGTGCAGCATTCAAGGCAGTGTTGTCTAATACATCAGCTCTGTCCTGAATGGCCTCACCAACACCAGATAAAGCCTGCATCAAATAAATTGCATGAGTGACAGATGATATGATACATAGTAACTAAATTTGATATTAAAATTTCAAATAAAATAATGTTTAAATATAGCATAGGGTTCTATATACATGTCCAAGTGGGCTGGTTTGTTTAATGAAATAACTAGTTTTATTTACAATGAGTAACCATAAACAAATTATAGGTTAATCATTTGGTAGTTTCAAATTACCAGAATAAAATGCCAAAATGATTCCCATACTTTTAAGATTTGTCCATTCACGTCCCAAACAATTTCAAGTATTCAAGTAATCCCACAACTTGCCAAATTTGAAAAAAATTGTGCTGCCATCAATTTTCCTTCCTTTGAAGGATATTAGGAGGAAAGCATCTCTTCCCGTATTGATCCCACGGCCAGGAATAGCGATCTGTGGAAAATTCCCGCTTACCTCACGCTATTTTCCTTCCATAGTGAGGCAGCGGATCTAGGAAGAAATTCATGAGGGCAATAATACTTGATTTTGAAAGAATAGAAGGATCTACATATGATATTTATTGATTCAGAGAAAGCTTATAATAAAATTTCAAGAGAAGTGCTATGGAGAATTCTAGAAAAGAAAGGTGTTAATAATGCTAGTATTCAAGTCATTAAGGATATGTATGAAAGAGTTGTTACTTTTGTTCAAACACAAGGTAACTTGACCAAGTACTTTCCTATTTTAGTTGATTACATCAAGGATCGGCTTTAAGCCCATATCTTTTGCTTTATTAATGGATGTCCTTACTAAACATTTACAAGAGGATTTGCCTTAGTGTATGCTTTTTGCTAATGATATTCTTCTTGTTGATAAGACTTGAGAGGGAGTTGAAGGTGTCCTTACTAGACATTTACAAGAGGATGTACCTTAGTGTATGCTTTTTGGTAATTATATTCTTCTTGTTGATAAGACTGGAGAGGGGGTTGAAGATAAACTTGAATTATGTAGTCAACTTTAGATTCTAAAGATTTTCGTTTGAGTAGATCTAAGACTGAATACATGGAGTGTAATTTTAGTTGTAATAGATCTAGTGGAGATATTGTGACTTCAGGAGATCAAATCATTAATAAGAGTACATATTTTAGATATCATGAGTCTATTATCCAGAGTGATGGTGACATTGTTGAGGTTATTAATAGAATTCAAATTGGATAGTTGAAGTGGAGGAATACATTGGGAATGTTGTGTGATAGAAAAGCATCCCTAAAACTTAAGAGAAAAATCTATAAGATGGGTGGTCAGACCTGAATTGCTTTATGGCGCAGAATATTGTCCATTAAAAGAGAAGCATAAAATTAAGTTAAATGTTACAGATATGATGATGCACATGTGGATGAGGGGATTTACAATCAGAGACAAATTGCGAAAAGGTTGGAGTAGCTCTAGTGGTAGATAAAATTAGAGAGAGTCGTCTTTAGATGGTTTGGTCACATAAAACGTCAGCCTTCCGATGACCCGTTTAGGCGAGTAAATGTATTAGAATTGGCCTATGTTAAGAAAGGTATACGTAGACCTAAAAGACTTGGTTAAAAAATATTAGAAATGATCATTTTTATTAGATTTAGACGAAAATTTGACTCTTAGCAGGAGGCAATGGAGAAAAAAGATTCATATAGCCGACCCCACATAATGCAATGGGATACAGGCTTGTTGTTGTTGTGTGTGTGTGTGCACGAGAGAGTGAAATTAAGAGGGAGATTGTCAAAGATTGCAGTAGCCATAAATAGCTAAGGTGGTGAGTTGACGGAGATGGCATGCCGGCTAGGGTTGGTGCAGGCAATGATGATGCGATAAGTGACGTAATGAGAACAACAACGCAACACTTGGCTATAGTAAGGGAATTTAAGGGTTGCAATAAAGAGGAAAACATGAGAGAAGAGAGCAGGGCTAGGTCGAGAGCAGAGAGTTAACTATTTTATTTAAGTAAATTTTCTCCTTTATATCAACAACAAGTATAAATGCATTTTGAACGTCAAATTGTTGCAAATCACATTCTACTTTTTAAATGCTCTAATTGCAAATATCTATGAAACCATATCAATTTCATTATATCTATTAGTTAAATACTATTAGTTGATAACTAGATGAACTGGCTAACAAGCTAAAAAAGTGAAGTTGGCACAAATCAATTACAATCACCAAAAAGTGTGCAAACATGAGTACAATTAGCTACTAATTAACTTCAACAGATGAAAATGTCGCACTTCATGATTATCTTCCTCAAGAGGATGTACCCTGGTGTAAGCCTTTTTATGGTGACAATCTAGTTATCAACTTCTTTTTTATAAAACTAGAGAGAAAGTTGAAGAAAATTTTGATTTAAGAAGGTCAATCTTAGAGTCTAAAGGTTTTTGTTTGAGTAGATATAAAATCGAATACATGAAGTGTAATTTTATTAGTAATTCATCTAGTAGGAGGATTGTGACTTCAGGTAATGAAGTTATTATAAAGAGTACATATTTAGATATCTTGGGTGTATTGTTCAAAGTGATGCTGAAATAGATAAGGATATTAGTATAATTCAAGTTGGATGGTTGAAGTCGAGGAATGCATTGGGACTGTTGTATGATAGAAAACTATCCCTCAAACTTAAGGGAAAATTCTATAAGATATTGGTGAGATCTAAAAATAGTGTAGAATGTTGGCCTTTACAAGAGAAGCATACAATTAAGTGTTGTAGAGATGAGAATGCACAGATGGATGAGTGGATTTACTCTTGGAGATAGAATTCACAATGAGTATATATGTGAAAAAGTTGGAGTAGCTCTAGTGGCAAATAAGATTAGAGAGAGACGCCTTTGTGGTTTGGTCACATGAAACATCAGCCTTCTAATGACTTGGTTAGGAGAGTGGATGTATTAGATTTGGCCTGTGTTAAGAAAGACAGAGGTAGACCTAAAAAGAATTGGTTAGAAATGATATATTTTTCTATTAGATTGGAATGAAAATTTGACTTTTAATAGAATAAATGGAGAAAAAGGATTCATGTTACTGACCCTACGTAGTGGAATAAAGGCTTGATGTTGTTATTGTTGTTGTTGTATGATTATCTTCATTTAAATCATTAACATTCATAAAAAGGTTAAGAATCATACTATTCACAACTCTCCACATATAAAAGCAACTAATAGACTGCTCTTCAAAATTTAAGAAAAGTCCGCTCCAAATGAAACTTACAATCTAGCAGTAATTCTAATATATTCAGAAGAAATTTCTATTTTCAAAAATAAAACACCAATTTTTTGTATAAATTTTAGTTAATCTTCAGAAAATCAATGTAAAGCAACGAAATTATTACTGCTGGGAATAAGCAACGCCCATTATGTACTTTGACTTGTGGCATTCAAAGAGAAATGCAAACTAAAACAAGATGCTTATATTTATACAAATAAAGGACATTAGTATAATTATGATGACTATTAGATAGAACATAAAATAAAGATAAACATTATAACAAAGTCCGTTGTCAATTTAGATGTGGCCAACTAAGCATAAGAGAATCACATTTCTCTTAATCCTAAATTATCCAACATGTCAATGCTGACGGAAATTGTGATATAAAGTTGATCATAATTTAGTTCCTCAATTATACAAAATTAATCTCAATTTAAGTCCATGAAAGACTGTTTGGGATCAATTTCGTATGGTCAAAGTATTAAATTGGAAAAATGTGATACTCTGAGACTAAATTCGCCATATATGAATAATCGAGGAAATATTTTGATTTTTTCCGAAGTAAATACTAAATACTACATGGCCCGCATAAACTATAGGCAGGTGTACCAAAACATGCCAATTGTTTAATTCACTGCTAAATATATAGTTGGTTGATAAATGCAACTTTTCTACTTCCTCGTGACAACCCCTATAGTGCTGAACTTTAAACAGCTTTCCCATTGACAATAAAGTAAAATTTCTGAGATTCAAACTTTTACAACCCAAAGAACACCTGCCTACTTTGGGTTTATCTTGCAAGGTATGCAAGAATAACTATCACGAACCCCTAGATGCACCACTTGGCATGCAAGAAATATAAAAATCAGGACACTCCTATCAAATAGCAATGCTATTTCTCTTCTTTGCTTGGTGCATTATCCCAAGAAGAAAGTTACCAAGAAAAAGAAACTCACCAGATATGTTTTCCCGTAGAGGAATATGTAGACAGTTAGTACAGTAAGCTGCACAATGAACAGAGCCGGGTTTCAATAAAAACAAAAAAAGCATGGTATACAAAAAGATTACTTTTTCAGCATAACAATAAATGCATCTAGCTTATATTTCAAGCTCTTAAATTAATAATAGCATAATGGACACGCAAGTGTAAGGTGGGATGAAACAATCAAGCACCATTAAAACGGTTGAAATTCTATTAACTAAAAACTTTAACATATTGAGCAACTCTTTCTTATGAAGGTTAAACTGTGTGTTTGTGTATACCAATTTGTTTTTTTTTTTTTGGTTGGTATCAATTACTTAAATTTTAGGAATTGAATCTACAGAGATGCGTTGAATGATAAAATAAACCCTACAATGATATATTAGTGAATCAATATATGATTACGAGTTAAAAATAAAATAAAATAAAATAAAAATTAGTGTTGAAAAAAAAAAAGTCAATCTAGTTTATGTGAACTCCTTATCACCTCTTCTCAACTGGAACAAATCTCAAACAAAAGGGAAGAAACAACCTTGCATCAACACGACAATGCCCAGAACAACAAGCAATGTACCCTACACCCCAAATGTGTAAGTTCTGTCACTTTAATAATGGACAACGGGAAAACTTTGTTCCTATGTATGCGTCCAAAGGTATAAGATTTAAATTCCATAAGTAACTTTATTAGAGTTTAGTGGTGTTCAATTGTTTTACACGAACTCAATCCCTACACTTTTTGGGCAACAAAGAGTTTCATAGACATCATGCTATATTGATATATTAATATTTAAATAATGTTTCATTAAATCAAGCAAGAAAAAATAATATCTTAATCATTTACTGATGCATGTCTAGTGGATTCATTACATCTTATTTAACTTGGAAACAACTAATTAGAATATCTTAGTAATTAAATAGTAATAATTAAAATTATTAAGTTATGTACATAGCAACTAATTCATTAATTATTAACAATTTTGTAATTAGAGTAGAATTTTTTTAAATAATTAACTGCATTTCTAATAGAAATACTACATCTAGTTATTCACTAACTAACCTAATTAACCCTTAATTATTCTGATCAATCTACTAATATAATAGACTGCATGGTCACCCCCATGCTACAAAATAGGTAGTCGTTGAGATAGTATAATTTGTGCAGTCTTTTAACAGGAAAAAAATTTAGAACATATGCATCATATATTTCACATCTATGCAACAGTATTAAGCATTATTTAAAATTACAAATACAAGGCGCATTTTAGTAAAATTTGCAATGAGGCATATGCCACATGGAGTCCTTGATAAGGAGTAAGTCACAACATGTTCTAGACACGCCTCTACACAATAAAGAAGAAGTGAATGCCTCATATCCTAGGGTTAGAATGATTAAAATAAAATTGCTCCCTCACTTGCTCCCTCTCCACGACCCTATTTACCACGAGTCTCACACAATTGCACTTGACTCCACCCTCTTCTCAACCACACATAACTGCCTCCTTGACATGATTTATTCAAGATTTTTTTATGGTTGAGGCCTTAAAACTTTTGTCCCTATATGAGCTCAAGCCTAGAATATTGAAGGAGGAACTAAATATCATTGATAAAGTTATTGAGGAGATTAAAAGAAATTGGAAGATTGGAGTAATAATCATACGTAATGATTAGTCTGATATTAAAAACAGAAGCATGATCAATATTCTAATTAACAATCTCAACGACACTATTGTTTTAAAGTTTGTTAAACCATAGGATAATGTGAAGGTGAATAGTACACTTTTGGACTTATTGATGGAGTCATAGAGTAGATTTTAGAGCATTTAGTAGTCCAAGTTATTATTGATAATGCTAATACCCCAGGAAATAGGGTAATAGATAAAAGAAATCATATGTACTTGACTCTATGTATGCCACATTGCACAGACTTAATTCTTGAAAAACTTAGAGAGTTATGTCAGTACAAAACATTAAGAGAAAAATTTACTATAAACATTTATTTATTGAACTTGTAACCATCAACATTATAAAGGTCATAAATTTTTATAAATAATCTTATTGATTTTTATTGAGATCGAAGATGAGAAAGAAAGGAAGTTGACACAACTGATGATGATGATGAATGAGAGGGAGCAATTTATTGTGCTAATGATTCCAAAAAAGACTCACAAAGTAATGAGAGTAGATGAGATTTGAATTTACAAATTATAATCTTAGTAGCTTAGACTACTTGTTAATGTTAATTATGGAAAGACTTATTTTGATGAATTTATTTCTGATCTTACTTTGATATCGTAATTAGATGTTAGTATAGTTCTTCTTACTTCATATTTATTATTAATTTAATATTTTTATTCTAAGAGTTATGCCTTAAAATGCCTCAAGACTTATACCTCCTCTCACAAATAGATAATCCAAAAACACCTGAGTGGTCAATTTAAAACCTTAGTATTAGGAAAGAGACCATTTGGAATACAAATTATTTACATATACAAGAAACTATAGGATACAACCTAGTGCCTTAAAAAGACTTCAAAAATTAATCGGTAATTTCAAGAAAGAACAAATTATAACCTCAATAAATAATAGCTGGCACGTACCATGGTACACAAGTAAAATCCTACAGTTGTATAGTAAAAGGACAACATGCGGAAGAAGTCAAAGAGCTGCCCAAGTCTGTACACATCCCTACTAAGAACTTGTTCACCATTGCCACCAGCAACTTTCCCTTCAAATAAAGCAATCTGATTCAACCCCACATCTCTTCCCTTTCCCACCTATTCGATGAAAAAAGTTCAATAAAAAAAATATTAGAAGAGACAAAATATAAACAACAGAAATGTCTAGGGAATAATAATTAATTTAATCACCTGAATATACTCATGATGAGTAATATTCCCTTGACGCAAAGTTGAGTTGAAACCTGCATATAAGAGAATAGTAAAGTGGAAGCATAAAATAATAAGCAAAACACATCAGATATATCGGATATTACTAAATCAATCCAATATAAAATATAGAACTAAGAGTTTCCTTCAGCTCTGCTTTTATAAAAAGCATAAGAAAAATCATCCAAAGCATCTATAAATAAACTAGTTTACAGTGATATTGTATTTAACAAAAATATAAAATATCTAGATCAAGTTGAGGAGATTTTAATATGAATGGAGAAATCTAAGTAAATTAAAAAAGAGAGCTAATTACCTTAGTAGCATTCACATATCATCTGCTACATAGGAAGGAAACTTATAACTGATAAAGTGAAAAGAGTAAGGCGGCAATTCACTTTTAAGCCTAAACTGTTAGAGGAATAAGATATATGCAGGTTAACAAAAAATTGTATATAATACAGATTACAGAGAAGTGTTACGTTCTTTTGCACGATAGGCAGCTTTTTCCGACATGTTATAAAGGTTATTTGTTAAACAGTGCACTTGTTTTCCAATGAAAAAAAAGAGCTTAATTTCATAGATGTGGGCCAGGAATGTATTTCTATAATGTATGCGGAAAATCAAGAGACATCGGTAAAGTAAATCAGTACGATTCACTCACCAATACACATTTATTTCGGTCCATAGCAATGGGCTTTACTATTGATACGGAGTTCATTGGCATATTATGATAAAAAACCCAAAAATTGTGAGAACAAAAAATATAATACACAAACAACAAGCCGGTAAAAGAGCAGATTCAATCTGCAACCATAAAAATCACAAAAAGAATGGAAAAGAAAACACTAATTTATCCTCAAGATCAATATCTATATCCGTATCCTAGTAATTTTGAGCCAGCTTTGTGAATTCTTGTTCTCCACTCATTCCGAGTCAATGCAACATGAGGTCTTAAAAACATTTCTACAAAAAACTTCTCAACTTCAATCAATATCAACTTTGGGCCATACTTCAACAAAAATTTGATATATCTGTCTTATAGGCACATTTACTAATATCTTCAATAAACACTACTCCTATTTTAGGCCGGCCCAAGGAGGGCCGGCTCTAAACCGGTCGATCCAAGACCGGTTCAGGTATATAGAAGGTGGGCCAAGGATGGGGGGAAAACAGATAAAGAGAAAGAGAAGAGAGGGGTGGCAGATGTGATGGGGCCCACACACTAATTAGTGAAGGGTTGGAGGTAAAATTTGAAATTAATGGTTGTTTAGGGAATTAGTAATTGTCCTTTTGCTTTAATTACTTTCTTTTTGCTAGGGTTAGGTTTATCTTGAATTTTGTAATCTGAATTTGAGATCCGAAGTTTCGTTTTGGGCTCTAGGCTTCGGCTAGAAATTTGGAGAGTGGAATCTTACTCTCGAATAGAAGATTCATTGTATCGAGTTGTTTATTTACTTCTCTTATTGAATTTCGAATGCTTTTCTCTCAGATTTTCCTACAAAATTTGTGAAATATGCACTGTTATTGGTGGAATTTGCTGAAATCCAACAGTTTTACTGGATTTGTGGATTGTTTTCTATCAAATTGGTATCAGAGCACTTCGATCTAAGGGATATCAATGGTTGGAAAGAAGGTTGAAGTTTTGGAGGGAGAATTTGGGCAACTCAAATTAGATTTTGAGGAGAAGATTTCCGATTTTTAGAATCAAAGCGCATCCATCAACGAAAGGATGGAGGGAAAGTTTGCCGTGGTGGAAGACATGTTGAATAATTTGCTAGAAACTAAACCCAATCCGTTGACATCAGAAGCAAAGGAAACTACCGGCAGCCATAGAAGAGTGAAAGAACACAATCACCTCCAAGCAGTAAACTGCTGTTTTCAAAAGCAAAACAACAATAAAATGCAGAAAATTGAGGAAAACTGCAGAGAAATTGAGAGAAAACAGTGAATTTCACTAACGAAAGAGAAAAATCACCACACGATACAAGTTTCTTCAAATCGAGAGGAAGAAACAACTCTCCAAATCTCTAGCCAAGAGACTAGAGCCCAATCACACCAAGGATATCCCTAATTCATATTCAAATTCAAGATGAAATCTTAACTCTCCCAAGAAAAAACTAATTAAAGCCAAAAAGACAGTTACAAATTTCCTAAACAGCCCCTAATTCAAATATTTCCCTACAAAGCAATTATTTAATTAAGGTGTGGGCCCTATAAGACCAGCCACCCCTCCTCTCTCCCTTCCCTAGTTCCGCCCAGCTCCCTGGGTTGGCGCCTGTAGCAATAAACCGATCCACTAGGGACCGGTTAAATGGATTTAGCCAGCCCCTCTTTGGTCGGCCTAACAAAGAGGTGGGAACCCTAACACGTTTAGGGGAAGGGAAAATCTAGAAGTGGAGATCTTTGAGCTCGAAGACGAAATGCCTCATATAGAACCACTTTCTAGAGAGGAGATGAGCATTGGCTACAAAAGGAGGGTGCTGATTTTGTGAGGGAAGATTTCGATCGATGGGATGCTGATGTTGGAAGAAGATGCGATTTTGATGAAGGGTTTGGGTATAATCACCGGAGGGAAAATCATGACAACTAGGAAGCACCTCCTCTTCGAGGAACGAGAGGTTATGGAGGACTCAGGGGAAATGGGGGTGACTCGGAGGTGAGGAAGCTGAAGATGCCCATCTTTGAGGGCAAGGACGCACATGGCTGGATCCACAAGGTGGAGCGATACTTTGCAGTCAACGGGCTGACAGAGGAAGATAATTTGACAACGACCAGACTGTGCTTAGAAGAAGGCACTGTCATGGTACTAATGGCGGGACATGAGGCGACCCATTTGAGGCTTGAGGGAGTTCAAGGATTGTATAGTAGAACGTTTTCGAACAAGTATGGGAGGGAATCTCTATGAGCAATTCTTCGCCTTGGCGCAGTAGGGGACTGTGATAGAATTCCATGACAGTTTGAATACCTAACTAGCCAGCTAAATTGACTCTCAGAGACAGTACTATAAAGAAATTTCATGAATGGGCTTAAACCAGAGATCCGAGCAGTAGTTAGGGTGATAAGGCTAAGAGACTTGGGGGAAGCTATAGAGTTAGCACATTTTGTAGAGAACTAGAAGTATCTGGAGAGGAAGGCTAGGGGGATTAACTCGGGGGGGGGGGGTATAGGATGACCACCACCTTCTTAGCTCTCAAGGGACCTGCATCAGGGAGTTTAAGAGAAGCACCCAAGGACAAAATTGGAGGGAAAAATTTCCAACGAAAACTGTACTTGAGCAAGAAGATACAAGAGAAAAAGACAAGGGGGTTGTGGTTCAGATGTAATGAGAAGTACACGCCAGGGCATAGGTGCAATGACCGAACTATTCAGATTCTCACTGTTTGTGATGATAAGGAACCTGAAGAGGCAGGTGAGAGTGAGCTAGGGGTGGAGGAAGAATAGAAGCTACATTTGGATATGACGGAAGTCTCCCTGAACTCAGTGGTGGGATTACTCCAAATCACACAATGAAAGTGAAGGGAGAGATAGCTGATAGAAAGGTGGTGGTGCTGATCGATAATAGGGCTATCCACAACTTATCTCTAATCAGATCGTAAATTTGTTGGGGGTAAAATTAGTGGACAATGGAGGCTATGGAGTGATGATGTGCACTGGGAAGGTGGAGATGGGTAGAGGAGTGTGTAGGGGAGTTGTGTTGATCATTCAGGGGATTCAGGTGAGGGAGGACTTTCTTCCCTTAAGATGAGGAGTATTGATGTCATCTTAGGGATGAAGTGACTGTAGACCTTGGGGGAAACCAAGGTCAACTGGGAGCACTGAGGATGGAACTAGTGGTGGGAGGAAGTAGGATGGTGATCCAGGGCGGTGTAGGGCTGTCCAGGGCTGGAGTATCTCTCAAATCCATGATCAGGACCATACAGGAGGTGGTAGGTGAATAATTGGTGGAATTACAATGCTTGGAGAGGGTCAGTGAGGGGGTAGAGGGAGATATCCTTCTTGCAATACAACCACTCATACAACAATTCGATGAGGTGTTCCAGCCACCTCAAGGCTTACCACCACCCAGAGAGCAGGATCATGCAATCATTTTGAAAGAGGGGGTCGCCGATTAGTGTACGACCATATCGCTACCCGCAAGTTCAGAAGGATGAGATTGAGAAGATGATTAGGGAGATGTTGGAGGCAGGGATCATCAGACCAAGTGAGAGTCCTTTCTCTAGTCTTACTGGTTAAGGATGGAAGATGGAGGTTTTGTGTGGATTATAGGGCGTTAAGGAGATTGTCCGGTGATCGATGAACTACTAGAAGAGTTGTATGGATTAGGTTTTTTAAGATGGAATTGAAGTCGGACTACCATCAAATCAGGATGGAGGAGGATATTCAGAAGACGACCTTCAGGACACACAAAGGACAATACGAGTTCTTAGTGATGCCATTTGGGCTTACAAACACCCTGTTAACTTCCAGTCATTGATGAATAGGGTGTTCAAGCCGTATCTCCGGAGGTTTCTCTTAGTTTTCTTTGATGACATACTTGTGTATAGCATAACCAAAGAGGAGCATCTCCGACTCCAACCCAGGTTCCCACTCCAGCCTTTCTGATGCGTGCGACCAACACCCACACAGATCTCGCACGACTGCGACCTCCAACCTGATGGAGACAGCACACCGACCGATCTCCTGCCTGATTCCGGCCCAACCTTCAACCCAATCCTGTAACCCAATCTTGAGAATAAATCCCGCCGTTCGACTAATCCCATACATAGAACTACCATTTCATCCAATTTTTTTGCACCCGAACCATTTCATCTCCTATCCTTTGATTCAATGGATCTCTATTATATGATCCAAGCCAATCGGGCCTAACACCAGACCCAACCCACTTGACGACCCATCTTGATCTTCCGACCTATTAGAGATACATAAAAAGGGATTTTAAACAAGCATCCAAGACCACGCGTTGTAGATCATAGATTCGATCAGGAAGAAGTCCAATTTTGAAGACCCTGTGCCATCAATCTTAGGTCCGTGA